CACACAAATTAAAAATGCTCATGACGCCAATGGTCACCACATTGTTTAAGCCAGTGCTTCTCAATTATTTTCTGTTATACCCCCCCACCCCCACCAGGAAGACGTAAACAATTTGCGCACCGTCCCAACTCTCCGCCGCGACTGTAAATAGCATGTCTATAAAATTGTTATAAGTACACCTCTGCCTAACAGTGTGTCCTTATTAACGTTAAAGAAAAAAAAAGAATAAAGATCAACTTACAAAGAAGAATAACTTTATTAACATCGGTTTTTTTTTAGTCTGTAACAGAAACAACTTAAAGTGCATCAATTTGCCTGAAAAAAAAATCCTTTTTTACGCTGTAAACATTTTGGACCATTTGATACTGAAAAATAAAATAAAATATAATCAATAAATAATAATAAATTCAAATTGATCAGCAACATTTTAACTCGGGAGTGTTACATAAAACACTTTGACCTACAAAACAAAAATGAATAAAACAATTTATGCTGATATTTTAAAAAAATCAAAATGAGGAAGTCAGGATCAATGAGCACACTCATCGATAAAACTAAAAAAAAATTGTCAACATGAAAGAGGAAAGAGGGGCAGGTAACACTCTCGCTTTGAGTTACTCTTTGTCACCTGCATGCTGTGGGTGACAAGCGTCCAGAGCTTCATAAAAACAGCAGCTTAACTGAGGAGGTGAATTTATTTTGTTAGCAAAGAATAGAGTCCTAACATTTATTAAACATTACTTCTGTAAATTGTGCTTTGACAAACTCATCAATAAAACTAAAACATTTTGTCAACGCAAAAGAGGAAAGAGGGGGCAGGTGTCGCTCTCGCTTTGAGTTTACTAAAAACAGCAGCGGAGGACGGAGGAGGTGACGGTCGGAGTTTATTTATCGGGCCAGCAGCAGAGGAGAGAGACACGGTTCGTGCATGGCTCCCAAAACGACAAGGCAGCCATATTTGTTCATAACTTTATTATTAGGAACGCACAAGACAAAATGAGAATGTTGAAAAAACAAACAAACAAAAAAACTACTCCGGCAAAAAAAGCATGTTTTCTAGGGTTACATGCGCCTTCCTTGGCATTTCCCCGGCCCCCACGCCCCACTAATTGACAAGGACTGGTTTAAGCCAAGAGTCATTGTCAGCACTGGGAGTTAAAGCGCCCCTAAAGGGCAGATTTTAGAATCGCCCCTGATATAAGGTTATAATTACATGATTCTAATAATAATAGGTCGTGATCTAAAGTGGGACAGTCTGAGGCTGAAACTCCAGGACTGAAAATGAGTTACACTCCGGCTCTGTATGTAGATAAATGTAGATGTTTAATAACCCGTTAAAATATACAAAAATGCAGGAAATGGCATCTACTGTATTCAGAATTCTCTGGGGGAGGACCTCCAGACCCCCCTACAAATCCCCCCCCCCCCCCACACACACACACACACACACACACACACACACATTACAAATGCTTCTGACGCCAGTGCATGCCAGTAGGATAAAACAATTGAAAGCAGCTTTCCACGTCAGTGAATCGTTTCTCAGTTTTAATTTCCTACCGATACGGTTGCAAACAACACGTGATTTATGAGGCTTGGATTATGAACGCTCATTTAGATCTTAAAGAGAAGACAGTGGACTTTGGGTGAAATACGTGAATTTACCTTTTCAACTCCACATTAATTTAAGGCAGTTTAGCATTTGTAAAAGCCACAGTTGACAAAAATAAAAATTAAAAAAACCCTCTTGTTAATGCCGTGCACAGGTAGCAGTGGGTACAGGTATCCTACTAGCACGGTGGTTTTCCTATAGGACTAGTTTCTGGTATGATCTAATGGGACCTATGTACTAAAATGAAAGTGTAACTGTAACAGAGCAGTGTTTTAACCAACATATATCTTTAACTGTATACAGGAATTAACACATTTAGGCTAAAGTCAAAACATGCTTCAATTCAATGCACAGGCTGTATTTCAGTTTCAATACGTCCTCACTGAAACGCTGGTTGTCTGACTGACTCCAGTGAAGCACATTACACAAGCTTTCATGAATAAATTCACTACTAGCTGTTGTGTCCTGGGCTTTAATGAGGAGGTTCAGTGACATTCTCTGAAAACGCCAGAGGCTTCTTCCCACTGACTCATCAAAATAAACTCGAGGCTGACATAACAGCTATGGAGAAACGCTCTCTAGCTGTTTTGATAACCTCAATTTACAATCAACCCTGTGGATTTTTTCTGTCTTCCCTTCGGTTTGTGTTTAACACGAGAAAACATCAGTGCAACGAAGCTCCTTAAACTTGATCTGGTTCCTCCTTTCACAAATCTGCAAAGGATCATTCACAAAGCTACACCTCCATCTGATGCTGCACTCACCAGTTGAGCCCCTCGCAGGTTGATGCCCGTCTCGATGGTGACGTAGTAGGAGGCCTGCAGGAAGGTTCTCTGCAGGACTAAAGCCAAGAACAGCAGAACAGCCAGGACCGAACTATTCCTCAGAAGCTCAGTGGTGAACATGAAGTAGACTCTTAAACCATTCTCCTGCAAGCACAAACACAAAATGGTCGAAGAAATTAAGCATAAACTTTGCAAAATTTTGAACAAGAGCATTTGGTTAGTATGAATGTGTTTAAGATATTTTAAAGTCATTTGCAAAACTATGGCATACAATTAAATCCATTATTATAAAATGGAAAGATTGTGGCGCCACAACAAACCTGCCAAAAGAGGATCGTAAACAAAACAGACTGGCTAAGGAGAGAATTATTCAGAGAAACATTCAGGAGGATAAAGATAACCTTGGTGGAGCTGGACCACTTTTCTGCAGAGATGGGAATATGTGTCTACAGGAGTAGACTGGGCTCTCCCTTAGAGATAGGGTGAGAAGCTCGATCATCCGGGAGAGACTCAGAGTAGAGCCGCTGCTTCTCCACGTCGAGAGGAGCCAGTTGAGGTGGCTTGGGCATCTGTTTAGGATGCCTTCTGGACACCTCCCTGGTGAGGTGTTCCGGACACGTCCCACCGGAAGGAGGCCCAGAGGAAGACCCAGGACACGCTGGAGGGACTATGTTTCTCGGTTGGCCTGGGAACGCCTCGGGATTCCCCCAGAAGAGCTGGCCCAAGTGGCTGGGGAGAGGGAAGTCTGAGCCTCCCTACTTAGGCTGCTACCCCCGCGACCCGACCCCGGATAAGTGGAAGAAAATGGATGGATGGATGGATGGAGCACCATAAGCTGCACAAAGCTGGGCTTCATGGAAGAGTGGCAGGAAAAAGAGATACCTTACTTACAAAAAATAATACGGCAAAATGTTTGGAATTCCTCCCCAAAATATGTAGAAGAAGACGCTGCAGTCAGATGAAAGTAAAACTGAACCTTTGGCTCATCAAGGACAACGTCATGCACAAACATAACACCTCTTATATTGTGAACACCATCCCCACTTTGGAGCATGGTGGTGACCGCATCATGCTGTGAGGATGGGATTCAACAGCAAGGACTGGGCAACCATGGTCATAGTTAAAGACAAGAGTTCCACATACAGCACATTATATGACCATAGGCAAAACATTATACCGGAATAAAGCTATCTATAACAATGACCCGGACAAGGTAAGAACTAAATTAACTTTGACCTTGATTTGTGACCTTGACCTTGGAGCTGAGGTAATTAAAAGTGTACATGACACTGTCTAGTGATGATGAGTACAAGTTTTGTTAAACTATCTTGAGTAGATCACAAATTATGGGCCAGACAAGAGAAAATGTATGGATGAATGGAGACTATACGTCCACCTTCGACGGGCGTATAAATAGATAGGTGGTGTAAAGGAGATAAATTCTTGAACTAGTACGAGATTTGAAACGGGAACGGAGGTTCACCTTCCCTTAAACACTGCTGCTTCAACACTCCAGTGGTTTAAGGTCAAACATTCTGGAATGGTCCAGTCAAACAATCAGCCCAACTAAGAATCTCTGGTTGGATACAAGCGGCGCCAGTCCAACTTGAAGGAGCTGGAGCTGTTTTGTCGTGAAGGATGGCCAAACTTTCTAGTGCTAAACTCTTGCATACAACCCCCTTAAGATTTATTTTAAATTCCAGGTTGTAAGACAATCTGGAACGTGACGCTCGGCAGTCTTTTCCTCAGCAACAAACTAACACCAAGTGTGAGGCGTGTGGGGAATGTTCCACGTCATTCTGATATGCAGCCCTGCTCTGTTTTCTATCTCAGCTACCCATTATACCCTCTTAAACCCACCTGGCAATAGTATAACAACGTCCAGCCAGAGTGAATGAAAACATCCGGTCATTAAAAAAAATGCATCTGTTCTGCTTCTCCTTCAAGCACCGACCTTTGGAGGAGGTTGGCATGAAGTACAGAGTCGTTGATGAGCTCTACCAGCTCTACTGTTCTTTTGCCAACCCTCTGAAGGAGCGTCTGGTTTGTTTCTGTCTGCTTCATCCTCTTTAATGTGCTGACAGGAGGAAATGTGTTGAGCCACAACTCATGGCCCTTTTTGATCATTTTGAGTTATGACAACGCTGGTGTGGATTAGGATTACTGTACACAACAAATCAAAAGTGCATGAATAATGATGTCCCCTGAAATTAGCAGGGGTTATGTTCTTAGAGCACCCAGGAATTGTGAAAAGCATAAGAATCAATTATCAATTACATTTGCATAAACAAGGAATTTGCTTTGTGGTACCAGTGCTTCACAAACATTTTAAACTAAATCAAAAAGTTCACAAACTCAAAAATATAGACGTCCGATCCACACACGGGATCTGGCTGGGGAGTGTTTGTTGCGTGCGTTGCATCAGCGCAAGAAAGAAAGTTCACATCGACCAGGATGGATGAAGTAAATGCCGAGAGAGGGAGTAAAAGGCTTACAGTTCAGACTGTTATAGGATCACTGTCCCAACAAGACACAAGCCACAGTTGATGTAAACACAAATGTTTTCATCTTTCACATTGCCAGACAGCTCCATGATCTGGTCCACTGTGAGGAGCTAGAAGTCCAGGACTAAATAATAAATGTAAAAATTAGGGATGTCTTGAGCTGAACCTAAGTATTGGATCTCTGTTGGCCGTATGGCTTTACGGTCCCCGAGCCGTAATATGGCTGCCTGCTGTAAAACATGATGTAACGTACCAACATGAGTGAGGTATGAAGTATTTAAAAATACAAAACATCCCCTGTTGCTGAGGGATTTAATAGTGAATGTATGTAGTTTTCGAGATGTGTTTTTCTAGACTGGAATTGAACAGGGAGTAAAGTAAACTTTAATGTTTTTGGTGCAAGATATTCGAGTAGGAAAAACACTGTGTAGAAGAGCAGCTTGTTGTTTTCTTGTCTGACGCAGTACAGATAGATGGTCCCTGGTGAGTGGAGGGAGAACATTTTAATCACTACCAAGTGCATTAGCGGAGCCAGGGCGTGGCCAATGGTGGTCTTGGCCACCATAGATTAATCTTCAGCCACCCCAAGGGCCACCCCAATCATTTGAAGAAACTTTACTTTTAAGCAATATAAAAACTAGAACGTATAGTTCCTTCAAGAGATAGAGGTGGCCAGTTTACATATATAAATGGTTGTAGCCATTTTGAATTTTGAGATAGCAACCCAATTTTCAAAAGGAATCTTGACTATGCCTAAATGCAGCCACACACCAAAAGTTTTCTCGCTCAAATGCACGGATGGATGAACAGAGGAACGAATGCTATTTCCCCGTTTTGCTCTGCGATGGGGACAATATAGCTACTTAGCAGCTACTTGTAGCATTTGTGACTTGGGAATAACTTATTTTAGAATTTTTATTCTTCGAATCATTTTATATTAAATAGTAGCAGCCAATGGTGTCACATACTCTTCTCTGGTCTGAGTCCCACCCATCCAAATCTTGGGCTATGTGAAGATATCTTCACTTCAGAAAAATCAAGCGCTCCTCCTGTGGTTTCCACCTCAGAGGACCCCAGTGATGCTGCACCAGGACTAAATGAGGCACCAGCAGATCCTGCTGACTGGTCAACTCCTTCAACTGATAATATACAATTCTCCTTTAAGAGTTTTACAGAATAAGATCCTGTTTGGTTTTAATTTTAATGCTACAAACAAAACGTAAACCACTAACTGAGTAATACAAGACTTGCAAACCCACGTTCATCTTGTCCGCTGACGCAACTTCATCTTTAGCATCCAGGTTATGCACGATGCCGGAGATGCAGAGAGGTCCAGCGAAGCCTAGCAGGTCCGCCAGGTAACGAAAGGTGCTGCTGAGCAGGATGGGACGGCCAAACGCTCGATACATGGAACGCCAGATAGACAGGGATCGATCCGGGTCCTCAGGTGTCTGCGCAGCAAGAGATAAAAGGAAAACAGGTGAAGCATTAGTTTTATTTAGGAAAATTAATAGTTACATGACCATAAAATAAAGTTACCGTTGCCTCGGCTCACCCTTTGATCCTCATAGGCGTCTTTGAGTCGCAGGTAGTTGGTGAGGGCTCTCATAGCGATGGGCAGCTTGCCGATCTTCTTCAGCTCTATTGGCCTCTTATGGGCTCCGATAATGAGAGGATTCATCCACCAATATGTTGCCTAGAAATGTGACAAAACCTGCTGTTTTTTGTGACTATGTACTGTACCAAGAATACCTTTGATACAAATAACCAGTGTTGCAGTTTAGTTTTTATCTTGTCTAAATGATATTTGGTTTAAACTTTTTATTCAATGGTCTTAACACAATGAGGAGAATCTACCTTAGAGAGAAGGTTGACAAAAGGCTGCAGGAAGCGAACCCCCAAATCCTGTAAATCCTCTGGTGGTTTCACCTTCTGAGGGTTGGTAAAGAATACGTACTTCTACAAAAACACACAGGGAAAAAAGAACATCTCAGTGTAAAGGAAATAAAAGCATTCATGCTGGTTTAAAAATGGTAACGAACCCTGACGCGGATGACGTTGATCTCCACGGCCATCAGGAGTCCATACAGGATCACCAACAGAGCGGTGATGCAGAACCTCAGGTGTCGCGGTCCAACAGAGAACTCTGCAAACTGCCACAGCTTGATGGACTTTGTGATGAACGCCAACACCCAGTAAATGAAGAGCACTGTTACAAAAAGTCAAATAATGTCATGTTTCTACCTCTTCATGCCATGATCTTGTAGATGAACAGATGCTGAGATATATTCATCAATTAAAACGGATTCTTCATTTTTCTGGACTGAATAAAACGTGCTTTGAATTTAACAGAAATGTGGACGTGAGACGTTATTTATCTTTGACCCATCAAAATGAATGCAGTCATTTATTTTACAGAATCAAAGTTTAACATCAAACATTTACATTAATTTGGCAAAATATGAAAATAACAACATAATTAAACAGCTTTACAGGTAGTGAGAACCAATGCGGCGATTGTTTTCACTCTTCAGCAGAACAGCAGACCTCAATCCACACGGCGGTGGAATGAGCACTTTACACAGACATTTCTAAAATATCTGGAATGATTTCTACTTGAGAGAAGAATTTAAAAATGGAAAGATGGAGTTTAAAGGGAGTGAAAGATGGTGTGTGAGGGGGAGTGTTGACCAGAACCGACACTCTCCATTCGAACCCAGCTTTTCCTCGGTACGCTTGGTAGCAAAACTTGACTCATTACCTCTCTGAAGATGAATCAGCAGATATGGAGTTCCAGTTAACGCTACCTGTCCAGCGTCTCCATAAGATGGCTGTGACTCGTCCGAAGTAGTGACGAGATTCCGTCCGACACAAGCTCACATCAGCAAGTGGACTTCACATGAGTGGAGTCCTTCAGAAGTTCCACTCAGAGGTGGAAGATGTTATAATCCAAACTCAGAAGAGCCTTATCATGGCTGGACTTCTGTTCTCCCAAACGACTTCACAGAACTGCGGACATCTCAGAACTTCTCCGCCCTCACCGAACTGAGAGAACTAGGAAGTACCGGCATTTTAAAGAGCTCTATTTCCTGTATATTTGAGCGTCCCTGATTGGTCAATATCAACCAGACAGGGGTGTGTTTTGTGATGTAAGAGGTTACTAGAAGTCAGAAAACAGCAAGAATGTTATTGAACAGATTAAAACTGTTCTCAGAGACAGAGAGAGTTTTGTTTTGGCGAGTTGGAGAAACAGGTGCCAACTTCTCTGTTGACGTCTGAGAGGATGTAAAAACAAGGCAGTTGTTCCAACACATGTCTGCTTCGACTCCTGACCTTGGAAAACGCACACTGGCTCATTCAAAGACAGAAATCAGAAAATGCATAAAAATCTGTAACAGGCCTTAACATGAATTCTAACTTTGCATGAGGATTAAAAAATCATTACACTGTTTCACAGTTAATAAAATTGATTAGTTCACTGCAACATCTAAAATGGTTTGAACTAAGACACTTTGATTATCAACATTTGTAAAATAGTAATGATAATAGAAAAGAGAGTGTTCTTTCACTTGAATTTTCAAGAAAGAAAGTCTCAGGATGGGTGAACCTGTATTTCTGGATTCAAATCAATGAAATGACAGTTTCTGTCCCACAAGGTTCTTAAGGTCAAGGGTTTTGACCTTAGGCTTAGTTTTGACATCAGGTTAAGTTCACTACAGTCTACTCCTCTGTCACTTTGCCATAACCACACTGCACTTTCAGCTCATCAGCCCTGATTCACTGCACCTGGTCTGATCCATACTTAAGGACTCCTCTCACCACTCCAATCTGCCAGATTATCATACTTTTTTGGTATTTGTTATCCAACCATCAAGTTTCATGTTCACGCCTTGTTCTTTGGGTTTTGACCTCACGCCTCATCTTGTGGATTTACCATTCTGCCTGCTCCCTGTCTGCTCTCATCTTGACGTTCTGACCCTGTTGCCAATTACTTCTTCTGGACAACGGACCTCAAATTACAGATTGCCCCTTTGGATTTGTCTTTGGATTTCTGAACCCCTGTGCTTGACCCCGACCTCGACTTTTGGACCTCATTTTTGGATTACCGCTCTGACCACTCTAACCACAGCTGTGCTTCACCCAGTTATGGTGATGTTATCACTTCATGCACTGACAGGTGGCTCTCAACCCACCCACCTGTGTAGACTTAATCCCTCCAGCAGCTGCAAGTCAATAAAATTGTTGTTTGTTTTACACTCTTGTTGTCTGGCTATATTTTGAATCCAAAACCCAAAATCCTGACAAATAATTGAACATTAAAAGGGCTGCAAAACACAGTGGGGAATATTTAACCTTTTCACAGAGAAATAAAAGCTCTTGCACCTAAATTAGTTTTTTTGTCCACGTAATTTAAAGATGTAATCATGCTTTGCTAGACTTACACAGATTTGAATGCTTTTACAAACTAAGAAATACAAAACTAATTAAATGCAATGAGAAGGCTAATGCAAAAAAAAAAAAAGAAGCTATAATTCTTACTTTTATTTTTACTGTAAAACTCAACTAGTGCATGTTTTGTCTCTGCAACTAATTTATATAGCTTATATGTTCTATTCTTCAAAACATAAAAAAAATGTTGGACGGGTTCATTTTATCATTACGCAACACATAAGTCACTTTTTGTACAACTGTTATCTCATTAATCCTGCAAACACATTTTCCTGCATAGATCTTGGATAAAATGTGATTGTGAAGAGAGTTTATGAGAATCATGCTGGCAAAATGAGGATTTTTTTTAATTAACATGTTTTTGTTCTCATTAGCCATATCAAAAGCTGCAAAATGATACTGAAATTTAGAAAATTATCACCTAGCAACAAGCTATTTTTGTTTATGAGAGTGGATGGTTTGAAAACTCAATTTTTATTGTTCTGGACTGACGTCATAGAGACTTCCAGCCCTAAGTTTAAAAATGAGGAATTCCTAATCTTCACAATGACACCAAATATTATACAAAGGGATTTCACAGTTGGTAGAGCTGTTGCCTCGCAGTGAGAAGGTTGCTGGATCAAATCCCGCTGGGGACCTTTCTGGCTGCAGTTTGCATGTTCTCTCTGTGCATGTGTGGATTTTCTCCTCCCACAGACCAAAAACATGCATGTTAGGCTGATTGATCAAATTGTCTCTAGGTGTGAGTGAGAGAGTGAATGGTTGTTTGTCTCTATGTGTCCATGTGACGGACTGGAGACCTGTCCAGGGTGTCCCCTGCCGCTCGTACAGTGACTGCTGGATATGGACACCAGTGACCCGAAAAAGAAGAAGCGGGTAAAAGATGATGAATAAATGGATGGATGGATAAACTGACAGATGGATGGATGGATGGATGGATGGATGGATGGATGGATGGAGGGATGAATGGA